TAAGCTATAAACACGGGATTGCTTTCGTTTGATTAGGATAACGTATTGCAGAATAGTATAATATGGCAGCCGTCTGTCACAAAAGTAAAACATATATGCGTTATAAAACTTGGGCCAAAGTAAATTCACAGTTTTTGTAAAATTGTTTAGTGTAAGGCTAGTTTGCCTTCCACCAAAATGTCGCTCTTTTCGCGCCGGAAAACACCTGACCAACTGGTGAAGCTATTAAAGGATGCATTAGCGGATCCCCTGGCACCCGCAAAGCCTGCCAAGGACGGAACAGTAAGTAAGCTCGAAGTGCAATCGTCTGCTGTGAGCGCACTATTTACATTTCCCTTTCCGTTTATTTATGTGATGTTAGCCCGTGGAAGTAATCACGAAGCGTCTTAGCGAAATGAAAGTACTGTTATATGGAGATGGAGAACAGGAGGCGAAATTAGAAAAATGCGTGCAGCTGGCAGAGCTCCTGATAGCCAGTGGCCTCATTCCTAAGCTAATTTCGAGACTGGACAAGTTACCTTTCGAGGCGCGCAAACAGTTTGCACAGGTGTACAACAATCTTATGCGACGTGATCTCGCAGGTTTTGTAAGCTATGTGGAGCATAAACCTGAAATTTTGTCAGCACTTGTAGCGGGTTATGAGAATCCTGAGGTGGCGCTTAATTGCGGTACAATGCTGCGTGAGGTATGCTCGTTGAAACATTTGAAGCATTTAAAGCATTTGAAAAAATCTGCTCATTTTTTGTGTTTTGACATGTTGTAGCTGATTCGCCACGAGGTTCTGGCAGGAAAAATTTTGTATTCAGCTGACTTATGGAGGTTCTTTGATGTATACGTTCATCTGCCTAACTTTGAGGTTGGTTCGGATGCATTTGCAACGTTCAAGGATCTATTTACGCGTCATAAGACACTGGCTGCTACATTTCTCACGTCCAAATTTGACGTGGTATTCACCAAGTACAATTGCTTGCTTATGTCTGAGAACTATGTCACGAGACGGCAATCGTTAAAGCTACTTGGAGAGATTCTACTTGACCGCTCCAATTTTGACATCATGATGAAATACATTGGGTTAGTCCGCTTGATACATTTTTCCAAAATTCAAAGCAGAACGTTAGACTTATGCTGCAATTGTATTTTTAAGGGAAAAGGAAAATTTGAAGATGATGATGAATCTGTTACGTGACACGAGTGCAAACATCCAGTTCGAGGCCTTTCACGTCTTCAAAGTGTTCGTTGCTAACCCCAAAAAGCCTGAAGCGATCTCCGTGATCCTTGTGAATAACCGTGAGAAGCTTATCGCATATCTCAAAAATTTTCAGAACAGCAAAGGTATGATTGAATGGTAAATATCTTGTGTCCCTCTGACCTAATGTTCACATTGTGATATTATAGAGGACCCGCAATTCATTGAGGAAAAGGCTCTGCTGATCAGGACCCTTGAGGGTCTTACGATTGGCGAAGCTGCCTCTGAAGCGGTCGTTACTCCTTCTGCACCAACGTCGCAGTAATAAGAACGGAACTTAATGTCGATGCGGGGTCAAATAGTGTGTCTATACTGCAAAAAAACTGGAAAAAGATACTTTGCTTCTTGTTTTCATATCAAATCTCAAAGCAGCTTATCGGTGTTTGCTAATAAGTCTGATTTGACAACTACTTTGAAAATACATCTTTAAAAGATAGAACAAAAATATTTCCTGCCAACATCGCAAATGAGGCAAGGAAATCAACAATTATAATCTGTGTTGCAGTTTATTCATGCCTTTTCGTAAGTGTAAGGCCTTTGGTCAATCCGTCTGAAGTAGCTGATTCCTGACTAAATTTGCTTTTTTAATAGCTTCTGTATGGCGATGATGTCGGCAGCATAGTACCGCCATACTATTACTTACATGTCAGTTGCAATACTTCCGTTCTAGCAGGATGCTCCGTGGTGTTGGCATTCTTTTATTACGGATAAAAATTTTCTGCATAATATTACTGTGACTGACTTGTTACCGGTGACGATATATTCTCACATATCCTTATTAAGATAACTCATGAGAGACTTATGCGACGTCTGCGATATTATACGGTGCGGTGGCCGCTTCACCCTCGGCTCTTATCGGCTTCCAAGTAATGCTTTGTACTTTGCCCAGTCAACCGCTCTTCACGAACATTCATTTCGCTGGAGATAGACCTAGCAGCAACTTAATTTCTAACCTTGAGCTGAATAATCATTCAGTATTGAGCGTGCAAGCAAATTTGCGTAACCCAAAAAGCAGACAAGTAACATGTTCTTCGCAATGGCTTGACGGGAATTTATAGTATAGCCATTAGTTTTAAGTTATCTTCGCACTTGCGAGCACTATTCAGATACAAATATGAGGTTTGAAGGTAACGTTATACTGGACTACAATAGGATGCGAAAAAAAAAGCCAGAAGTAAATGCGAGCAGTAACGTGTAATCAAACCCAGTATTGATACCATATTACTCAATATTTGAGCTGCCGACTCGCGACTTGCAAAAAGTAGAGTACCTCGGCTGCAGTAGGTCGCAATCGAGGGTCGATGTTTAAGCAGCTATCCACAAATCGAGCCAGATCAGGAGCCATGAAAGGTGAAAACTGCACACGCAGTTTTCCCAGCGAAACCATCTGCAGCACTGCTGTGTCTGGCAGCGGATGTCCGCTACTGCTCTCCTTCGCATGAGAGTACGGCAGTTCATGCGTATCCAGCTCTGAAATCACCACTCCCAACGAGAAAACATCGGCTTTTTCGCCGTAGCGCATACCCATCATCACCTCAGGCGCCATCCACAGTGAACTTCCCACGCCAGCAGTCATCGTCACATCAGAGCGAACGCGTGAAGCGCCAAAATCTGTAATTTTTGCGTCCAAGTTATTCGTCAGAAGAATGTTACGTGACTTAAGGTCCCGATGCAACACTACGGGGTCCATCGAGTGTAGATATGTCAATGCGAAAGCCACCTGGTACGCGATCCGCATCTTGTCAGAGTTCATGCCCTGAGGAAATCTATTATCGTGATAGTCTTTTAATAGCGAACGGAGATCTCCACCTGTCATCAACTCGGTCACGCAGAAAAGGTCACTTAAGGATTCCCACGCTACTCCAATAAATTGCACAATGTGTGGATGATCCATGGTTGCCATGAGCAGCACCTCGGACAAGAACGCTTGGATGTGTTTGAGATCCTTTCGCTTATCGGGTAGCAGCGTTTTTATAGCTACGTCCTGGTCTCGATATCGACCACGATACACTTCACCGAATCCTCCATGTCCAATCACGGCTCCTAAATTGATGCGGTCAATTGGAATTCTCGATGCCAGAATGACAGGATTTTCGCACAGCGAGTCTTGATGTTGTTTGCCATCGGGTATCGTTGCCCCGGATGAGCGTGAGTTTGCAGTTATATCATGGTATTCTGTGTCTGCTGGGGACCTAGTGTGGCGTATTTGCTTGCCATATACAGGAGACTCTACCAAGTCATCGGCCGAAGCGCTGCTAAGACGGTGCGTATCTCGCCGCCGCCGCATAATGAAGAATGCAAATAACAGAATTATCAAAATCACGGCCGCACCAATGATTCCAAACATAGCACCCGTACTGACGGAGCTGGACGATGTCGAATCACTGTTGTCTGAGTCTCCGCTTGGTGAGTTTGCCGAGTTCCCGTCATTAAGGCTGGCGGCGGAGTCTGTGGTTGGGCTTAATTCAATCGTATTTTCCGTGCCGCCACTTCTCGTAATAATTACGTAGCTATAAGAGTGGGTGCCGTCTTCCTGTGTTGTTTCTGTAACCTCTACCGCCACGAGTTCAGCACCATTAAGCATACTCGTATCCACTCCAGGAGGAAGCGTTGACGAGTTGTAGGTATCAACGATCGGCGCCTCAATTTTTGTAGCTGGCGGAGGCGATGCTGTCGTGCTGTCTGGAGCTGTTGGTGGAATTAGTGGTGTACGGCTTGGAGCTATTGTAGGAGCAATAGTAGGAGCTATAGTAGGAGGTGTTGTAGGCACATTTGTAGGAGATATTGTCGGAGTAGCTGTGGGAGCAGTCGTGGGAGCATTTGTGGGAGCAGTTGTTGGAGCAGTCGTGGGCGCAGTTGTTGGAGCAGTCGTGGGCGCAGTTGTTGGAGCAACCGTGGGAGCAGTTGTTGGAGCAACCGTGGGAGCAGTTGTAGGAGCGATTGTGGGTGACGATGTTGGGATGAGTTCAGAAGTATTTGGATTCGTTGGGTCTGGCAATGTGGGCGCTGCGGTCGAAGGTGCAGTAGTCGGAGCCGTCGAAGGTGATGAAGTACTTGATCCTGTATCTGCATCAGCTTATGTTAACGTGAAGCTTGCTTCTGTGTAGCAACGAAATCGTCAAACTTCTCACCGGAAGTTTGAGATGTCACTTCAGTAAAGTTGAGATAAAGCCAAAAACTCAAGACCGCGCAACGTCGTTCAGGATGAGATGTCATTTTGTGCAAAACGTATATTCTGTAAAGTACTTTTTACGAACTGCGTACATTACGTACAATACATTATTCTGATTAATTTACGCCGTTTTGATTATGACACAAAATATATGGATCTTTTTTGCTCGAAACTACAAATAGTATGAAATGCTACACTGGGCGGAAAGGCGCGATGCCTGCAATGCAGTTTGAGACAGCCGGCTGCAATGATCGCCTTGGGCAGATTGTGGTCGACAGCCAAGTGGGTTGAGAGTTAATCCCTTATGGTCTTGTCCTCAAGGTTCATAGATTCGCGTACAGTATTTTGAGGGAATGGCTAAACAACGACATTCTCACATACAGCAAGGTTGATCCAATAAACAACACCATCATACGTTATCTTGCAACACTCAGGCTGACCGTGCGCGCCAGCTTCGTTTCTTTAGATTCTATTGATGTCATAATCATTGACGCAAACATCCGGAAATAGTACTTTCTACGTATTCCTTCTCGCGCAAAGATTACGCAAAGTCTATGCATCTTTTCGTAAGTGTGCCCCCGGTTGGTAAAAAGGCAAGAAAAGCATCCACGGCGCATGTTTATGAAATTTGAAGCGAAAGGTCTGTGCTCTCAAGAATTATTGCTTGTATGTAAAGTACGATAGTGAGGCAATTTGTAACGAGGTGTACCCTTTTTCGCAATTATACAACATATGATACACCAAAGTTATAGAAAACTTAAAATTCTGAAGAGTCTGCGTTGAAAAACGCACACAGGTTCGCACGATCCAACTAGGTGCGGGACCGAGAGCCTCTTCAGTAACTAGTCGCCTAAATTGTTCTGCTATTTCAAGATTCACACAAATTGAGGATTAATTTTATCCAGACTAATGTAATATTTGTGTACAAATAGTACCCTTACCACGTCCAATGTAACGGAATATGTCATTCCATATTAACGGATTTTCCCGATTAGAGTCCAGTCCCGAATAGAG